AAATCACTAACTCGGGAGCCAGGAAAGCCAGGAAGCTGAAATTTTCAGGGATTGTTTCCAGCACATGTACAACCTAAAATTATCGAAGATCAGCGGCGGAGGTGTAGTGCGAGACTGTGGTAGTCACAGTCAACTCCGTTACTGTATGAAGTGCACTGAATACTGTGGTCGACAAAAAGGACCGACCGATTCGGACTACCGTTTTTATCAGTGGAATGTTGTCTGTATCTCGCGTGAGTGATTACACGTTTGCGTGAAGTGCAGTAGTAATCAAGCTTCAAAATTTTCATATTTGGTAGCAAGCAAGGAATGAAGAAACGGAAAAGTGGGAGGCGTTATTCCCCTCGCTAGGTTGGAAGGAACACATGCAGCATCCAGGCATGTATGCACTCTGATTACGCTTCTGCATTTTGTCTTCTTCGCTCGAGGCTCAGACATTCACATCCCCATACATATCCTTCGAGCTCTAGCGAGCAGCCCAGGAAGCAGAACCGTTTACTCGCTTGCTTGCACTTGTAGCAAACAAAGCTGGCAGACTGAGAAGCCCTGAACTACAATAAACCGCTCCAACGTCATATTATACTTTAACACCCGCCTGGCTGCACTTACTGTTATCATACTGTGCTGATACATCAGCTACACGTGCATTGCCAATCATCACCCTTTTTCTGGATTCTACTGTCTTCCACTTCGCCTTCAAAATTATCGTTCGAATTGCATTACTGCTTGTTGCAGTAGCTGTAATCAGAAAAGGACTGTTGTCGTCTTCGCCATCATTTCGTATTACATGGCTGCTAGCAGATCGAGGTCGTAGTCTTTTAGGGCGACGACATCGTAGAAATGCTGCAACTATCGCGACACATTCTATCGCAACTACTGCTCGTGCTACTCCCACTGCTGCTGCGAATAGTGGTCGAGGACAGGGTGCTGCTAAGTTGGATATGACAACACAGCTCACCAAACTGTTTTCATTCATCCTGGCCAATGTGCATGATCCCTCACAAACTGACGATCCTGGTCCGTTCTCACGTTTTTAGTGCAAAATTCTACATTTTAAAACACTAAAGGACAAATTGCCCATAGTACAGAAAGTTGAACTGACAGAATGTTCTTGGCTAGTATAGCACAGCTGTTATCAGGGTTCGCTGATCCAGGGCTGCACTTCAGCAGTGAATCCTTTATCGTTACAGTGCTTGTTTGGCATTTTCGCTCAGTCGATGCTACAGTTTTTAGGAAATTTGTATTCTTTTTTAAAACAATTCGGCATAATACACCAATTTTTGTTGCTGAACAAGTCGTCTTCTTCATAGCAGCTGACAGCAGTTCTTAGTTCAATTTACTTGCAGCTTGCATGACTTTTCGTTTCTAAATTTTCTTCTATTAATCATATGATTGATTAATATACGTGCTCTGATACGGAAGCCAAAATGGTGCAGAAAGGGTTTTAAGAGCGAGTCGGTGCGCGCCATTTCTGTGTTCGTTCTGAGAACAACTTTCAGCTTGACCTGGAGCTACTACTGCTAACATATTTACCATGCCAAATATGCATTTGCTCCTGAAAAGCTCATCGTAATATGCGTACACCAAAATTAATTTTAGACCATAGGGTGATAAAATTGTTCGGTGCAAGAACACATCTTGTAGGTATTAGAAGTGTTATTTTCGGCAGAGTCGGTCGAGTGCTTTACCATAGTAGTAAAACATGTGTCAAATTTTGATTTCCTATAAGATGACTATAACTCCGATTTTCTTTTTGGTTTTGAATTTTTCTAATTATAAAATAACAAGTTAACTTTGACTATTAACTTTGGCTATATTTTTTCAGGATTTTTTTTGTTGGCACATATTTCTGCTGATGAAAGGACTGCATTTCATGTCAGTTCAGAAATAGTTTAAAAAAGATGCTTTTCTTTCTTTCGCGTCTCTTCTTAGAAACTCTCTTGCAAGAATCTTGCTAAATTCAAACTTATCTACTGAATGCCTTCCAAATTGAGAACATATGTTTGGTTGCGTGTTCAGCAGCGCAAACGGGAGCCAAAATACACGGTTTTTTTGGCAAAAGTAAATAGCCACAAGCAAAATTAACCTAATATTTCATATAGTAAATTAGCTTGCTAAAGCTGACAAGTTTGTACTGCACACTGGTACCGCGCTTTACCAGTTTACATGCACTGAGGTGCAGTGACGCACAGACTGTAGACTCACCCTTTCAGTCTGTTCTCAAACTAATTCGTTTGTCTCTTTCAAAATATTTGAGTTCCAAACATAGTCGGAAAAATTCCCTCTGTGCCGTTCACCAAAGTTCTTGGCTCAGCTCTTACATTTGAATATATTTACTTCATGCCATATCTTTCACCGAGTATTTAAAATTCGTTGTGATCATCTGTAAATGCTCAAAGAAACGGAACGAACAGTCAAAAGTTTTTCAAAGGAGCACTTTAGGGGATTTTTCTTAAAAATACATTTCGATAACTTTGTCTGTGGAACATGTCAGCGGAGGTATTCTATTAACAGTCAAAACTCACATAACAGAAATATTGGTAAATATAGCAGATTTAATATATAATAAATAGCAGATTGCTGTAAACGATAAAATAAAAGCAAAGCACACGGCAATCTTAAAAGATAGAAGCAAGAGCAGGCTTGCCGCATTCTCTTGCTATTAAAAGGGTTAAAACTGGAAATGTCTTGTTCTTCACATAGAACGATTTCGTCACCTTATTATGGCTCCACGCATGCACAACCATCACTGTTCGTTTAAAATGCAGCCCACTTTTGTTCCTTTTTTTTCGACCCTGATTCCCAAAAACGCATCGAATTTGTCAACTTTCCTCAGTCCTCTTTGTCGTTGTCTTCTGATAATTCATTGAAATCTCTAAGGGATAATCTACTTAGTGCGTAGTCCGAAAGGAAGGACGAAGAAGCTTTTTCCTCGAATTTACATGTTAGCTTCTGTGGTCCTTTTCTCCGCCGCTGCTGCTATTCCACTACTCTTCCCAAGCACGTCGCCCAGAACCGTTCAGTTTTAATGGCTGTTGATGTCCTACAACTTGTAAGCTTCATGCTTGCCAATGTTTCCGATCTCTACAATTTTCGGATATCTTGTAAGTCTGTTCTGTATCACATTTTCCTTTTCTGCTTTAGTCACGCTGTATGGTTTTTTGCGGGCGGTGAAGGTAGTTTTGCGAACGTATATATGACTATCTTAACACCTCTTTCCTAACATCTATTGTGTAAAAGCGCAGGCAAACACTCCTTTTTACAATCAGACCTCATAACGTGTAGAAATGCACAATTTTTATTGCACTAAACAGTAAAAGTAAAAAAATAAATTCCGATGCTAAATTTACAACAGATCTGAAGACGTAAATCGGTGCATTTAAATTGAGGCATTAGATTGACGGGAAGAGAATAAAGGCAAGAAAGCTGGCTGACTTTCACAAACTGAGCTTTTAGCGTGATGTGAGCGTTGCAGAAGTCGGTATAGCACAAACTGTGAAAAAAACTGAAAATTAAGAAACTCAACTTTCTGGCATTTTTTTTAGAAAGAAATGCACAGCGTTATTCATCAGAATTGAATCTTAAGTCGTCGGCCTGCTTCATTTATGACTAATAATGCGAAAATTTTCCTAACTCCACTTTGCATTTCCACTTCTTATGCAAATCAGTCTGAACTCTCGCTTTATTTCACGGAGTAAGATTTTTGGCACATATATGTCGCAGAAATCGAAAATATTAATTTTAAAAAATAAGAAATTTTTTTTAATGTTGTGTTTAGAAAACGGGTTCTTTTTTGATTTGTTTCCAGCCAGTTTTTCGGAAACGGTACTAA